GCAAGTATCTCACTCGTTCTAATCTGGTCTTGCCACGTCGATTCTATAAAATTTGTTTGATTTTAAATCTTGTTCGATTGTGAAGTGAGTGTCGAAGTAACGGGGAAATAACATTATAGAATGCCACTTTTCACGTCATCTCATACTAAACTTTATCTATCAAAATGTTCCGGTCAATTTAGTTAAACTCGCAAGTGTAACGCTAATGTACTACTACTCACAGCGGATTCAGATTCGAAGTTTAGAATGAAGTCTTACAGAATCACACTGCAGGTGCCTACGTGAGACGCCAATGCTTATCATCACGCAATCCAGCTCATTTCCCACCCTACGATAATTTATTTTAAAACCTAGAAAAAATCTTATTATACATTTTATTGAAAAAATGTGACAAGAACCACAAGATATATGAAGATAGCAGAATCCCGCAACGTTGCCGTTCTGTAACAAAAGTTAGAATTAATGGGAGCCATTATTGAAGTCGGGGAGCAAATGCTGCACTTTGAAACTTAAATAATGACTAGAAATGTCAAAAAAAAAAGAATTGAAATAACAACGCAATGGCATTGATTGACTTACTGAAGTAGAAGGTGACATTAATAGAAAAGTTTTTCAAGTAATAAACAAGTTTGGATGTACATATGTATTTATTGATTTAGTTTGTTGATATCAAGATTTTAGTGTGAATTCCCATAAGAAACTTACTCACCAATTTTACACTACATTAGTTATTTATACTATAATATAATTTTTTGTTCCAACATCCCCCTATCGCCAATCTCGAAATCCCCCAATCACTAAAAGGCTTATAACCTATAACTTCTCTGATGTCGCGGGCGGCGACTATTGTTAGTAGCTTTTATTGTGACTTCCTTTAACATTTCTGTAAAATGATTATTCAAAGTTACATGTATGGATACAAACTGCGTCTATTGTTTGCTCAACCGTTTCGACTGTAGTTGCAGATATACAAGTACATAATGTTAGTACGTACGTGCATATATCTGTTGATTAATTGCGTACGTCCAGCTGCAGCGCATCTGATTGCAGTAAACATTTGTCACTAATGGATGAATCGCTTATTCCTCATAATTCGACACCATCGTCAATTACTGCGAATGCCAGTTCTCTGTTAACTCATTTGGTGTTAGATTCGCGACTGAATTTTCGAGATATGCAGGATATTGCGTGTCATATAACGGTACGGTAACGTACGTATGCATTCTTTATTACCGATTCCGTAACGTTTTCGGCTCATTTCCTCGAAAAAACTCAGTTAAAGGCTTTGTTGTGTTGTTCTGTTTTGTTCAATCAATATTATTGGAGTTAGTGTGTTATTGTATTTTCGGTACAAAATGTTCATTGATATAAGTTTTAAAGACTCCATTCAAGTACTACAATGTTTGTAAATACTTATTATATGGAACTCTTTGTTTGGTTATTATGATTGATTTAATTTCGAGTAAAATTTTATTTGGTTTCCAAGTTTCAAAATTGGAATGCTGTTCGTATAATCTGGAATTGACCCATGTGTTTAAAGGTTTACAAAATATGTAGTCAATTGTTTATTGAATAAGCAAATGACAATATTAAATAAGGTTAAGATTTCATTACAAAGAAACAAATATAAATACACTGATGTCTTTCTTCCTTTTTATTGAATGATTGTAATAATAACATGATAAAATACATTCAAAATCGTACATAGAGCTGTAAGCTTACCCTTTTGGGTCGACATTATTCTATTCGAATGAGGCTTCTAAATAAAAATAGCTGGTTGGGTGCAATAAAAGAGCTTCGCCAAGTGACGGCACTAAACGTTTCTTAAGTTAATCGGCATTTAACGGCACACCTCGGGAGTCGGGTCGACAGACGCTGTTAACTCGCTGACTCGCTAATCTTTACACTCTGACTAAGACAATATTTTTGTACTCAGTTTAGTTTCAGTACGAATAAAGCTTAAAGTTTACCAAGAAGTAAATTTAAATAATATTATTATGAACCCGATGTGTCTATTTGAATAACTTAACTTGGTTGTATTCAACAACATAATTTTGTATCGATGATGGTAACTAATTTCATATGAAAAGGTTCATCATCATCACCAGCCCTTAAGTGCCCTATGCCCAGGAAAGGCTTCGTCTCACACGGAGGTTTGAGCATTATTCAGTATGCGTGCTCAAGGGGAATTGAGATTTTAAACTGCTAATTAGAAATTATCAGTTCATTGATGTTTTAGTTCACAGTTTGTCATGTATCTCATTAGTATTTGCCAGGTTTTAAATCCACGCATGAGAAACCGGTGTGCCTTTACCACGACTTCTTCTTATAAAGGTGCAAGAGGTAAAAAATAAAACAACGAAGACATTTTATTATAATATTTATTTTCTTTATAATGCTATCCATTGAAAATAAACGTAAAGTATGCGATGCGTAGTGATTTGGCATGAAGATACGAAAACCACCATTGTTTGGTTTGCGCTATGTCAGAGCAAACCAATGGTTACCAAGGTTACTAAAGGTATAGTTTCGTTAATGTAATTAAGAATAACAATAAGAACTGTTCCAGTTATGAGTTAAACTTTATTTTCTTACCTGTCTACCAAATAAATGTGCAGACTGTTTAGAAACTGCAGTCTGTTCTAGAAGACTAGTGTGTGCATTAACTAACTTTGTGTTGAATACTCATATTGAAGTCTAGGTGTCTAGGTGTTTCATTGTAAAGGCTACTTTAAAAGTGCTTTAAAACATGAGCTGTTTACTTGTTCACAAACAGGTATATTGTAAAAACTAATTAAATATAAAACCTGTTCTAAGCAATTCCATTGACATATTATTTGATGAAAAAAATAATAATAACATTATTGTAACATTTATAATATTCAATTTAATTTTCCAATCACGTAGATCTTACCAATTAATTCTTCATTTGATTCATGACTGCAAAAGCCTTGTAAGTCCAATTCATGACCTGAAAACGTAAAATGGAATTCAAAATCTTTAGGTATAATTATTGCGACAATTTATTATCTATTTTAGACGTTGGAATATCTTGTCGGTCTTAGCTAAACTTCAAAATTAATGAAATAAAAACACTATGAGACTCTTGAGTGCTTTATACAATCAAACGGAGAGGTGAGTTTTTACGAAAAATAAAATTAAACTTTTATCCCAGTTATTATTTTCCCAACTTTATTTTTACCGCAAATCAATTTAGTTTAAGTGCTAGCATAAGATTCGACCATCAGACTCTAAGAATTAAATAAAAAGTGAAGAATGTTTAATATTTTATTCGCACAGTCGTAGTTTACATTTAATTAATCCAGTACCAGTGAGAAATTTAAAAAATGCAAGCAGTAAAAATGATCGCGTATTCTATGACAACATCCTGTGTCCAAGCTTAATTGGCAAAGATTAAACTACAGAAAGCCGGGGTCATCCCACAGGGACAGTGGGTAGCCCGAGGTTTTCTAAAGGCCACGGCGACTCCAGATGAATAATTTAGTAGTTTGTATCTATTAATGTGTTGGTACATACGCACGTGATAAGTTTACCAAATAAAAATGGCCGCGCGACGTGAATTTGATAGTTTTGCAAATGCGAGACTTATGTAGCGGTGAAATGTGTATTTAGGCCCATGGTTAAGCGATTTCTTATTCATTGGGTAGTGTGGGTAGGGATGGATTACGTTACACATTTGTTGTTGATAGATAATTGGGAAAATGAGGTTTTAGCTAACAAGCTTAACTTGCGGAAAGAGAGTGGTCAAAGTGATTACCGAAAAAGTAGACCAGTTTAAAGCAATGTTATGTTATTTTTAACCGTAATATTCTATACAAAAAACAACATAAACGAGTCTTGTCATCATTGTAAATAAAATGAAAATAATAAATTTTTTCATCGCAAAAAATTAGTCAAGTTAGAAAAAGCTTTTATAAATTGCGATTACAAACTTCAACGCCTTTGGCTCATCGCCGGTATATTGCCGTGATCAGAGGCCGTGTTACCGACGCATAATCAAGAGAAAAACTGGTACCAACCGATCTCCCGGGGATGTTAAGGGCGCGTACAGATTATGGGCTTATTATAAAATGTTATAAAATTGAACTTTATGTTAAGGTGTAGAAAGTAATGTTTCCTAAGATCGGAAAAGAAGAATTCTCCGATCAGGTAAGGTGTCAATGCCTGGTGAGCAAACTACTGGCGACTGCCCAATATTTATATGTATTATATTTTAATCGGCGCGCAAACTTCAGTTATGTGGTATAGATCTCTGACTTCATTTATTATTTTCTCTTTGTGCTACAACAACATTATTTCATAAGATATTACTCATATATGTATTATGTTCAGTATATCGCGGGCTTGACATCCACGGTCCATGAGGAAACTTAAAATCCAGGTTTCCTCCTGAGATGATAACAATGGTGCCAAAATATTGCCGGGCGCGCCTTCAGGAACACCACAATACACAATATTAGTTAGTACTATTTTGTTTGTTCTTTCCTTTCACGGGACTACAGGGTATCCGACCTTTGGAAGGCGTACAAGGAGCCGAAGCCAACTCGCAGAGGCCCGTTGAACAGTTTTAATCTAAATGGGATGGGACATCAGCCGGCAATTATTCCTGTATGCACTATAAAAGTGCACCCAAGGACAATCCCCGGTGATGCAGGACTATTGTGAAATGTGGTAAAAATTGATAGGGTTTTAGGTATGGGTTGCTATGGACTGGTGGATATGATAACTATATTTTAATAAGTTTAGTAGCATTTATTGTTATAATTATGTTTAAAAACAATTTAAGATAATTTGGACGTGCTTTAAGCCAAAAGTTGGTATACAAATGTTACTCAATCTGTACGCACCCTTATGCTTCTGTATAGATTACGCCGTTCTGATTCCCCGAGTAATAGAAGGTATTGGACGCGAAGGTTGAATGAAACTCGCGCCGTGTATCGTTATTAAAACCAGTAGGTAGGTATTGTCTATAATTTAGCTTAAGATTGTTCTTTGTCGGTGATCTAGAGAACGGAATGACAAGTTATAATAAAATTGATTTATTTGTACATAATTTTTACTAGATCTATTATGTCAGTTTATTTTGTTATCTCTCTATACAAGTTAGGCTGGCTTTCATTGCAGCGTTAAGACTCGTCGTTAAGGAGTAGTGCTTACCGAACACTCGCCGCCCGACCAGGACCAGACCCGAGCGTACGGGGCGTAGCGTTCCACGCGCGCCTCAAAGAGCTAATAGACCACCACAGATGAGGCACAGTAGGGCTGAAATTCAGCCAGCGCAATAATGTACTGCAGCCCCAGCTTGGATTAGGAGATGGAACGGGGTGGCTTTAGTCAGTAACACCCGGTTTCTGAAAGGCTTGTCAACGCTAAAATTAACTAATCTCCTGTTAAATCTCTTGTCAAGTCATCTGATTGGTTGTTGATAATTCAGTCAACCAATCAGATGACTTGACAAGAGATTAAATTGATTTTAACATTGATCGGTCTTTTGGAAATCGGGGGTAAGAGTCTCAAAGTCTTTCTCGATCCGCTCAGAGTGAGAGACGCAATGTGATGAGGTTCCTCCTTCTAAAAAGTCTCTAATACAGTTGGCTATGAAAAAAAATTATGCAAAGTAAATTAATATTCTTAATTAAAAGTAATGTTCATTTAAGTGCACGAATAAATGTAACTTTTTATTTAAATTTTAATATAATCAGAGATGAATGAATTCATTAAAAACGGTACTAATAGAATTAATGTGCTTCATAAATATAGGCTACCAACTTTGAAATAAAGTTTAATTTGAAAATATTTAATGTTATTTAGATATTAGGGATGTTATGTACATGAAATTTCGGATAGGATTAGATACGGATAAAGGAATGCTTATTATATACTGGATACGATTACGGTTACGGATATGAAATTATTTCAGATTATCCGTTAGTGTCGGATAATTTCGGTTCCGGATATTAAAGTAAAACACAACACACAACGTGTCTCAATTAGGCTCCGCCCCTATCCGGTTTTCACCTTAACTTAATTTCAGATTCGGTTTCGGTTACTGATATTTTTTTATATCGGATATCCGATAGTTTCGGTTATAGTTACAGAGCTTCCTAACATCCCTGTCAGATATGTACAAGTTAGTGCTTTTAAATAAAATTTAAAATACTTTTACAAGTTCTATACGTTCTCTGATTGCTGTAGCTGTAAAATTTTGAATATTCAACTAAGTAATAAGTTTGTAAACAAACTTTTTTGTAAATTTCATCATAATGGATCGAATTATCAAATAAAATAAAGTTGTTTTGATTTATTATGGTGGTGTTAACAACAAAGTTGGGTAATAAGCCTCGGCCTTAATAGGTGGTAGGTAGCTGTTGTTATTTTAATAGGAAGTGTGATACAAATAAATATTTACGTGTAAGTTGAGCAATCCCGAAAACTTGGATTAGGTTCTAATAAGAGAACTTGTAGTATTTTATTGTAGTACTATGCTTTTTTATGGTATAAGTCGGCAAACGATCAGACGGATTACCTGATGGTAAGCAATCGGCGCCGCCCATGGACACCCGCAACACCAATTGAGTTACGAGTGCGTTGCCGCGCAAAAGGAACGGGAAGGGATAGGGGAAGGGGAGGGATTGGGCCTCCGGTAACCTCACTCACACGGCGAAACACAACGCTGGGTTGTTTCACGCCGGTATTCTGTGAGGCCGTGGTATCACTCCGGTCGAGCCGACCCATTCGTGCCGAAGCTTGGCCCCACTTGCTTTTTAAATGTTAATAAAAATATGCAATAACACCATGCTAGGCACTCGAATTTACATACTAAATTGAGAATATACAAATTATTTTTTCGCAATCATACCCTTCAATCCAAATTAATTTGTAAAGAAGTTACTTTACGCAAAATACTTTTAGCCTTATTAATTAATTACTAATCTACTAACTAAGCGCTTATTATTTTTTTGCGGCTTTAGCGATATTCAGCTATGCCTGTCTTGTAATGTACCTCAAAAATTAAATTAAAAACTATAATGAACTACCTATATCTAAACTTCCATAATTATAGTGATATGGATTTTCCTTTACTAAAACACAATTAAGTTCAAAACAAATTTCCTTGAAAAGAACAAACCATTAAAAATAATTGTCCAAAACTAAATGTAATTAGGTCATACTGCAGCTACAAATAGTACTAAGAATTATGAATTTGTAATGGAAACATTTCGTTAAATACCAGGAATGCAGAACTGAATGAAGTACTCGTTTCTTTGAAAAACTCATTCCTTGTTGAGGTTAATTCATTTTGTGGACAATGTACTCCTGGAACTAGCTAATGAAATTTGCTAATAAGTACTACATTCTGAAAGATAAACAGTCACTTGCTAGACTTTCTGTTTTTCTTCGAAGATAAACGTAAATAAATATAGTGACCTAGTTGTTATTGTTTGTGGTGTCAATTTTCCTACGATTTATTCTTTAATTAATCGAATATTTATATGTTCCTGTAGTGAGATTTTGGTGAAAATGGTAACTGCTAGTTATAAAAACAGATGAATAAAAGTTTTTTGGAATCGGTTAAAAGATTCTGTTCAAAAATTGGTTTTGATATAAAATGTTTCCAGTAGGAAATTTTCGCCGTATTTCCTACTGGTAACATTTTCATTTTTGATGTATTTTGTGAAGCAAGAACCTTTTCCTTATTTTAATTGTCTTCGTTCCTAAACGTAACAAAACCTATTTATCATAAAACTTTTTTTTAAATCTGTTTATTTACAGTATTATTTAAAAGAAAATTGTGTTATCTTTGCTTAATTTAATGCTTACTGTATCCAAGCAAATATTTGCTAATGAAAATTCTTTAGAAAGTGAATAAGTTTTTTTCGTACAATAAAATTAATACACGCGGGAGTTATCTCTCGAATTGTACAATGACAATGGGGAATATCTTGGATGTGATCCCAAATATTTGAGGACAAAAATATGATAAACGACTATGAATAATGATTGTATACTATAGCTGTACTATGAATTCTTAACTTAGGGCGTTTCGTACCTACTTCGTAATATACACAGAGATACTGAGAGCCTAAGATATCTATTTTCGGAAAGATTTAATTTATATTGATTGACAGGGATATCTTTAGGATTACTATTTTTAGAAAGAAAGCGTTTATTTTATCTGGATCAAAAATATGATCATATTTTATGTTTAGAGTTGAGAAATTATATAAATGGAATCAGAGTTTGAATTTAAGTGAGCGAACTTTAAATTGCAAATAAACATTTTATGAGTTTGTGCATGGTAGGTACTAACTTTTGAATGGTAACAAAGGGTAGAGATCAAAACAATTTTGATCCAATCTTTCTGACGTATTTGTTTTTAGTTTTAAAGTAAACTTTACGGGGTATGCTTCCGTTTACAAATGGTTATACTACACATTAATACCTTTTTTGTCTTTACCTTTTTTGTGGAGGGCAAATCATCATCATTCATCGTCATTTATCATTCATCACGAGGGGAAGTCATCTGAGAAATGGTGAGAGAGAGTGTCAGAATCGTATTGAGTAAAAAGCCACAGGTTTTCTCTCTCCTGCTCCTAGCACCTTACCTACCGTACCTTATTGCAATTAACCCGCGACTCCGGCTAAACATTGGCTACATTGGGCGCTATCTGATATGATCTATTGGTTTTTTGAGAATATCTACGTACTCGTATAGACATATTTTGCGAGTGTTTGTAAACATTTCGAGGCAGGCTGAACAAACTTTGAACTCAAATTCAACTACTATAAACTAATAATAACTTTGTAAACTAAATACTCGTATTAAATATGATAAAACTTGTTAGTTGTCCACTCCTGAGTGCTATCTGTATTGTCCAAATTATAATATTGTTAGTTGTAATTGTTTAATGACTATAGTACAATACCGTCAACTTATCTTGGCGAGTCTGAAGTTAGCCGATTAGCTGCGCAGTACACAATTTTGTTCCTAAAAGATCCATTGCGCAGACAAACAGCTAACTTCAGATTCGCCAAGATACGTCGGCCGTACTGTATATCTGTAACATGAGCCGTGCTTCCGGGGCGAGCGGGAAAGTTACTGAGGCTGCGGCCTGAAGCAGGAGAGTCTGACACTCCCTCTCGCCAGACCCTAGGCGAGAGAAATCATTTGATTTTTCACCATCAAACCCTATTTGTAAAATAAGTTCTTTTTTCCCTCAATTGTGGTCTCTCGTGTGCTGTGTGTGCGTTACAAACATATGAATTCACATACACAAACCTCCCAGATTATTCTGTACGGAAATCGAATCCGCGACACGTTGCACAGTAGCCAGTTCCCCAGCCAATGCGCCAACCGTGCAGTCAGTAATACATTTGGCTACCGTTTTTCTTACGGTTGATATAAGTACCAATCAAGCTTCCTACATATTTCATAGAGCCTAGTCCTCCTAAATGCTCTCTCTACTCCGTATACAGAAAAGGCGCATCAGTGAACTATAACAGGTGCTCACGAAATTCTTTATCGGACGTGAGTATTCAATAAAGAAGTTCAAAGCTAAATATTCCAAATTCTTCTACGCTAACTGAGCCATTTATTGATTAAATAATTCATCTTTTTAGCAAAGGGAAATTGTACAGTTTTCCTTTAATGGCGGAAATAGTTTCCTGCTTTCGACAGCCCACCTTACGAACGTTTTCACTGTTTCAAAGCGCTCCGGGCCTTTTTCTACTGCCCAGCTCTCTTTTGGCGTTTATTGGATTAGGAAAAAATAAAAAATATATATGTATACAATGACATACAAAGAAAATTCTATTTCATTTTCTAGTAATATTTTGTTTACATCAAATTGTTCGTTTGAGTAAAAAAATGTACTTGTTTTTAAAGGATTATGCTGTCTCGCAGCGAGTATTTTCTTCAATAAAATTCACAATACATTTAACAATAAACTATTTTTGGGCAAAAAGTCGCGTCAGCTCGTCGCTTCATCGCTATTTACGAACGAATTTCAATAAACAAAATAGCTATTTAATCAGCCATAGCAATATACTCTTTGTAGAAAAAGTCTTAATTTTTTACAATGTTGCCTTTATATTTCGAAGAGTTACTTTAAGTTGCTTTCATCAGAAAAAAACTTCATTTTTGTCAACCAGATGATTTGAAATGGGATTTACAAAGAATCTTAGACCGGACAGTTCATAAAGCGAGAAAAATATTCAAATACCTGCATTAACTCCTATTTATACATTTTAAAATTTAAATAAATCCTATTTTTAAATTTAAATATTAATCATGTAGTTTTTTCGCGTTAAATTCTGACCCAATTCTCTCGGATACACGTGTCTCACGCCAACGGTCCATATTGTGAAAGTGAAGTCGACCGATCAAGGACAATATTTCTAGTAGCAAACCACTAGTCATTATAACGATTGACAAAGGATAATATTATGTGTTGATAATATCGTTATTATTATTTTTTCTTTTTTAGGCATAAGTTAAGAGTATACATGTATTTTTCTATTGACTCAATAAATAGTTTGTAAGATGCGACCTAAAAAGGTATTTGCTATTAACAAAAGACGACAGAACAAAAAAAAAAAAAACTTTCCAGAAGTCATCAAATAATTAATCTATTATTTTTTCCAGCAAAACTTTATGGATATTTTAAGTGGACAGCTCAAATATTTCTACTCACCTCTACATAAAAACTAAGCATCATGTTCTACTATTAATGTAAACAGATCAATAAAAACAAATTAACGTATTTACCTTGGTAAAGGTCTCCAGGGAGACAGGGACGAGCTTCGCCGCAGTTATGACAAGCGGTCTCTGGGTCTTCGCTATGAAGATAACCAGATTCTTCTTTACAGTATTCGGCAAATCAATCCAAGGACATGAAAATATTACCGTTGAGATGTGCATACTCTAGAAAATGGAAGAAAAATCGTTTAGTGCTATTTTCAAAGATGGCCTCTAGAATTGTGCCTAGTGTAGGGTAAAAGGTTACCCTGTGTTACATAGGACTAATTACATAACAGATGAAAAATGGGTTTTAAATTGCATATGTGTCTAGATTGGAAAAACGAAGAATGTATAGAAAGGACAATTAATAGAAAATCTGTTTAAAGCGCGGACATAACCTTTTCTTGCCATGGACAGACAAATAGTTTAGTTTAGTTTTTCAAAAAATCGATCTATAACAGTTGACTACGATAGTTTTACCCATTTAACATTTTTGTAACATAATAATTCTAAAAAGCTGAAAGCAGGGCATTAAAAATTGTTTCACAAAAAAGGTGACATTCATTGTTTTTCCCCCGTGGTCTTCTACTTCCCTTTTGTGAGGTAGGGCGACAAACGAGCAGATGCATCACCTGGAGGTAAGCAATCGTGTTGCAAATACATTGCCAGGTTTGGAGATTAGGTAATTTAGGAATTGGTGATAACTGGCACATGGGGGAGGGGTATCTAGTCTCCGTTAACCTCACACACAGAACAAACCGCAACGCAAGTGAAGTTTCACGCCGTTACTTTATGAGGTCGTATTATCACTCCGTTCTTCCCGAGGCCAGACTTTCCCACACTGCACAGATTCCAGCAAATATTTTATCCATTAAAATACAAATTATCACTTAATAAGGGTGTTTACTTGAAAAAACTAAGCTACTTTCCTGACGCAGAACCAAGTTTTTAATAAATTTCTACTCAAGAAATGATAATAATAATATGCTTATCCTATTAGAAATTTCTATTGAAAGTTAACAAGCAAACGGTTACGTTACCCTGGGGTAAAGCTTGGAGCTTAACTTAAGGTCAGCCAAGTGTTTAGGATGGATAACTGAATTGACTTGGCACGTGCCTCTAACAAGGGTCGAGGTGTGATGAGATGAGAACCTCACTCGGGTTTTCATTCGATACTGTCACTACAATTTTAATTCAGAAAAACATAGAGAAAGTGTTTAGATTTTTAGTTTTATACTGCAAGTTGGATGTGATGGTATTGAATAAAAATATATTATACAACGGAAGCGTTGTTTCACGCTTGTTTTATATATTATACTATACTACTATGTATATAAGTTGAGACGAACCATCGTGTCAAAGCATGACTTTTCCAAACTACACGCAGTCGTTTTAGCTAGTCTACTAACGAAATGAACATCGCGCAATTTTTTTTTATTTGGTAGGACGGCCAAGGAGTTGACGGATTATCTGATGGTAAGCAATCAGCGCAGTCTATGGACACCCGCAACAACGGAGTATTTAGTTGCCAAATGTCGACATTTTTAGGGTTTTGGGGATATAAGGTTTGGGGAAGGATCGGGGGAGGGGAAAGATTAGGCCTCCGGTAACCTCAGTCACACGGCGAAACACGACGCTGTGGTTGTTTCACGCCGGTTTTCTGTGAGGTCGTGTGACGTCGTCACACTTAGAAACAAAATTGAAATTTAAACAGAAAATGTTTAACAACTTTGTTTACTAATTTAATTTCTACGAGTTGAAAACAACTATCGAGTTTAAATTTGAAACCTTTTACTTAAATAACATTTTTAACTGCTGTAGTTTAGTTCTGTACGTGTGGGTCCAAAAATAGAATCAACTGACCTAAAAACTTGTTAGAAGCATTGAAGTTGGGCTGAATGGTACCTGGGATTGTAGTTTAGAAAATACTAAAACCGCTTTTAAACCTTTTCGCATTTAAGTGCTATTGTATTTGATTTTGGTGGTTGGTTAACGCATTGGTGTAACTATCAGATTTTATATCCTTTAATTGTTATGAATTAACAAACGTTCGAATAATACCATGGCTTTACAGAATACAGGCGTGAAATTTACTTTTTTTATAAGGGAATATCAGAGAATGAATTCTTTTTGACCTGAAACGTTTGACTGTAACGGGATGGACGACTTATACATATATTAATTGTGAAAGTTTGTGAGAATGTATGTACGTCAGTTTGTCATTCTTTCACGCAAAAACGGATGGACCAATTTGGTTGAAATTTGATATGTAGTTAGATGAAAGATATCCTTTTTATCAATACACCTCGCGGACAAAACCGCGCTGAGAAGATAGTAATATATAATTTGCTATGGTATTCGACGGAGTGGCTTAAAATTCTGGTCAAATTCTTACCTTAATAGTGATAGTATTACCGAAGTAACAATCAATGAATAGATTACAAATGAAAATCGACAAATAAGCGAGAACCCATATGACTTCCGTCAAATTCTTCAAAGGCGATTCAATCTGAAATAAGAGGAAATTATACTTAACATTTTTTCTAACTTACAATCATAAATCAGAAAATCAGTATTTTTTTTTTGAAATACAAGCTAATAATATTGGTAAATGGTACTCGTTAAAAATATTGAGTTGGCCCGGAGGCAAATTTCAAAGCTGGCAAGTACCAATGTGGCTTTGTGAGTTACATGTTACATACTGTGCGTGGAATTGATCATAATATGACGATTTAAATATCTTTGTAAGGTAAGTAAGTAGTAATATGACTTCTTCTGAGTTTTATATTATGTACTTTCTATGATTATTTAGATACCACTGACACATATAAAACATCGTGACGAAGCCAGGACTTTTAAATTTCTAATTTTAATGGTATGAAATTGCCAATCCGCCTTGATCAAGCGTGGTGATTAATGCTCAAATCTTCTGCGTATGAGAAGAGGCGTTTGCTCAGTAGGCACTTATAGGCTGATACAGTGAATTCTTGTGTTGATAACAAACTCTTTTTTTATTATATTTTTCATTTTATTTACTTGTGCTCGATCTAGGGATATTTGAAATTACAACAAGCATATATCAATATCAATTTTAAGGTTATATGTAATTTATTTTTATAAAACCATACCGAAAATATTTGTACAGCAGTGGTTCCCAAAATACCAGTGCTCAGAAACAATGTGGCTGATGGATGGATCAATCTCCGAAACTGGCGTATTCGTGTGATCGCTCTGGTGCTTTTCAGATATTGATATTTAATGGTAATTATATATCTTATAACAAATAATGATATTCAAATAGTACATTTTTACTATTGGCCTTCAATTTACATAAACAGTTATGGAAATATTTAAGTTTAAAAATTTTTGCGACCAGAGCAATCATAATTGGTGCCAGAGCAATCAAAAACTGTGAAATTAGTGAAACAAAAAATTAATATTGATAAAATATTATTTATTTAACCGTTTTCAGTGTTATTCAGGGTACGTGTAACAAGATTATAATAATATGTTAGAAATGTACACTTTCTAAACGCGACCTTCATACAGGAACGGGAACGTCTCGTTTTCGAGACGTTCCCATTCCACGGGAACTACAAATGTGGGTAAAAGATCTGCCGGAAGTCACTATTCCACGCGGACGAAGTCGCTGGCAAAAGCTAGTATAAAATAATTGCTTAAATAACAAATTAACATAACTATAAAAAACAACTTTTTGGCTTAGTTTCATTTATTTGGACTTAATTAATCACTTCTAGGTAAAAGACACAAAATTAAAAATATTTTGAAATCAACCAACCTACCTACATTCTTTTATAGTTATAAAATGACTTAGACTCATTAAATATTAGCTTTTAAAAAGTAATTAAAGAAGATAAAATTCTAACAAAAAAACAATTGGTTAAAGTAACTATTTGTAATCATAATGCTTAATAGGACTTAGAATTATGACTAAGATTATGACAGTCTTTTCAAAATTATCTAAGAGATTTGTAATAATCACATTTTCCTTAACTATATCTTTAGTGGAAAGTAAAGAATTAAAAAGAACAACACAAAGTAAAATGCAATTCAGATGATCAGATCAGATTAAAATATTGTTTGAAAATTATAATGATACAAATTTTAACACCAAAATACAATTTCTATAAGGCTCAGAAAATTGAATAGTCATCGGAGTCGGATAAATCTTCTGCTGCAGCAGCCTTTGTCAAGGTTTTATCGTTTTGCAACGAAGATAAAACTACCTCGGAAATACTTGGAGTAATTAAATTTTCATAGTCAATAGATGGGACTTCATCCCAAAAACTATCCGGCAGGTCCGAGTTATGTAATGATTCTTGACTTTGATTTGCAGTTATAGTCTGTCTATTATTTAGCATTTGTGGAAGCTGAATTTGCTTCTCCTGATCGCAGTTTTTTGAACGCTTGACCAGCGAAGGCCGACTGGTCTTCTTTGATGTCCGTGACATGTTTTTCTTTGAGGTGTTTAGGTTCGGGTCGCTATCAATTTGGTAAAAGCCTATGTGATTGCCGTGCGGACATTGTACAGCTTCTTGTGAACAATTGCCTAAATCGCAGCTTAGTCGCCTCATGGCCAAAACGTTTTTAGTATTCGCTGACCAAATTACTTGATGTACCTTCATAGTACCCTGAAATTCTTTTATATCTTGGGGGATTAACATGTCTTTTTCTAATATGGCAGATTCTGCAACTTCTTCCAGGATAATTCCTGACACATTTGTTTTGAGATAAGCTAAAAACGTTTTCGTATCAGGTATATCTAATCCATGAGCCACCATTTTATCGGCAGTCCTTTTAAGCGTTCCTCCAACACCATCAGGAGCACCTTTACCGTGACCCTTTTCCGAATAGTTCCATATAACTTTTCGTAGACTTGGGTATTGCCAGTGTAGTTTTGATATAATATGAAACAATTTCTTGTTTCGGTATTGACCCGAAGGTGAGTCTGACAAGAAGTGCAAAGACGTTACTCTAGGCAATGTGTTTTCTATATAAAGGAGGACTGGCACCAAATGTTCCCAAACAGCTACAGCGTCATGTCTCAAGCTCTCACTAATCGTACAGAAGCACTGTGACTGGAGTAACTCATCTTCTTTGTAATAAATTACTACGGTATGCAAGGTTACTTGTTGGCGCGAACCGCCAAAGTGAAATGATTGAATTTCAGTCGCGTATTTGGTATTATAATTTTCACTGAAGTCACAGTGGATTAAACACTCATCGTAATTTAAATTAGCTTTAAGTTTTTTAATGTAGCTATTCTGGGCTATAATATTGGCGCAGTGATGCATGTACGAGCTGCATATATTTTCAAAATAATTAATAACATCCTTGGGATTAGCTTCGACTTTTTGCTTTAAGGTTTGTGTAGTTTTCATTTCTTTTCCATTTTTCATGTAAGTCTTCTTGATCTTGGTCCACTTAAAATATTCAATTTGCTTACTGTTATCAAACTCTTTATATTCCAGGTGTTTCTCTTTACAGATAATGCAACATCTTGTAAGGCAGTCTATACTTCTCAAATTACACGTTAAGGAGGTTAAGATTTCCGTTGATGATTTTTCTTTAATAATGCAGTATTTTTTCAATGATAGGGTAACCAAATCCATGTTCTCATGCTCTACACAAAGACATGTATCACGGCATTTTGCATCTGGGATAACGGCCCAAAAGGCAAACGTAGCTCGTAGCTTACAAAAGAAGCTGTAACTGATGTTGTGCTGTGGAAATCTTAAAGTAAATTTTTGGTGCAAATTGTGTAAGGTATCATTTAAGTAGCGCTTTTGCTTTTTTATTTTATTTCTAGTAATAAACTCCTTTTTCCCAGATGTCATGCGGCTAATATCATCATCTTCAAAAAACAGTTTTATATCTTTTATTAATTGTTGTTTTACTGTATATTTTATTTCTTGTACGTTATCTTTGTTAGGAGTTGAAACCAACATTTTTCTTTCTAAACGTTTTCCTTCTTTACTTTGTTTTTTTAACCTGTTCAACTGTCTTCTAATACGTTCATTACTTATTTTCAACTTTTGAATCTTTTGATCTTTCAGTTTTAATTCCCTATTAGCTTTATATTTCATCCTTCTTAATAAAGCTTTCCATGGAGAGGTTTTTTTTGCAACTGACGATATTTTATGTTTAGGGAATAAATCTAGACTTTTTTGAGACGTATTTGATATGTTGCTAATAGAACTTTGTGGACTATCGGGACAGATGCTGGAGGAAGCACTACCAATGCATGTTAGTTCGTTCGTTCGTTCAGTACCTTGCGATAGCCGCTGAGATCTTGTTATTCGTCTTAGTCTACTAACCGGTGATGCGGGTGTATCAAAATTAGCCACATTGTCATATTCTTTAGAAGTCTGTGGAAGACAAAAACTTGTCTGAGAATGATCTTTTACACGATTAATAATGTTAAACTCATTTTCAACATCTTGTGTTACAGTTTGCAGTATCTTTCTATGTTTTGTTGTTACTTTGTAGGTGTTTAAGGTTGGAGCTGATTGAGGAACATTTGAAAGAGGATCACGGTTCTCAGATTTATAGATGGGTTCTTCATTTATTGGGAGCTCATCGGTTGCTGATAACTTATCCATTTTTTTCTTTAGATAATATCGTCGAGAACTCTGCCTACTTTTCTTCCTACGAATCTTTTGCTGGCTTGGAGTCAAAACACTCATTGGTAGTACTGTGCCCCGAGCTTTTTTCCTTTGGTAACTCTCTCTTGACTTTACAAGCCATTGCGCGTATAAATCTGGATCATTTTTTATTTTGGCCATTCTACGACGCTCAGCCAATTTCTTCCTAAGACGTTTTTCTTCAATTGATAATTTATTTTGAGGCATAATTTAAATCTGCAACAATAGTTGCCATTAAATTTTAGAGAAGAAAGGATTATAGTTGTGGTTAACTAAATTAAAATATAATAATAATATCATTAAGATAAAATACGTCAAAATCTGTTTATCGATTTAGCTTACCCAAAGAAACCCAACAAAGGCTATAAATTAAATGTTATATGCATCGTTTGTCATTATTACAGTTCGGTAATACTACTTAAAATAGATTTATAACGTCCAATTAATGTAAAATATCATCGCTCTGGTCCTTTTGGACAGAGCAATCACAGCCATAGCGATCAGATAAAGTCACAAAATCATAAATATAGCCGAATGTAAAAGCAGAAGACAGTTGTGATTACTTCCCACAAAAAACATCACAACGATTACTTAAATCACATAACAAACACATTCACAAGCTTACTATTTATTTTTAATAACGTGCCATAGCAATCATAAAATTCGAGAACCAAATACAGAGCAATCATAAACTTACCTTCGTAATGTTGGAGCGCGGGAACGTGGCACACATGTATCCTGCTCGGCGGTTAGATCACTACTGGCGTTGCCCCGCGGGAGGGGAACATAGTGTCTAAAACGCGTATCTCGGGATGTGCGCGATGTTTTACCTCAGCGCAGAGCGATGAGATAAAATGCCCGGTCACGATTTTAAATTCAAATTGTGGCAAAAGTATTGTTAATATAACTAAAAATATTTTATTACTATGAAGAAAAACTATTTGTTATGTAATCTAAATAAGTTGTTTGATATGAACCTTCTCATTAAAAATTTAAAGAACATTTTTTTCATTCAATCGGGAGTTGGGTCAACCCAGAGCGATCAGGATTTTAATGTGTAAGAATTTTTTTTATATATTTAAAATAAACTTATTTATAATATAAGCCTTGTGTCATGTAGATTAGACACTGAACTATAAATAAAAAAATATTTTGGAAACTTTTTTCGATTTTAAAATGCGATTATCCAGCCCAACACGAAAAATAACACCACTGGAGATCGACCCATATACATAACACCCAAACCTGGGACAAAATTTTGTGGAACAAATAAAATATTGTGCCGAGCGGGAATCAAAACTCCAACGCAACGTCTAGTATAGCAGTTATTTCACCAGTCACCAAACCAAGTTCTACATCCAAGTTTTAACTCAAATTCAAATTCTTTATTTGCATGTTAAGGTAATATGTAACTCCATATGTGTGAGATATTGCATTTGTTAACATAAATCTCTCAAACAAGCAGCTGGCTGAGTAACCATAGCAACCATTTATATACGACCAAATACAGTTCTGTATGAAAATCGAACAAGCGATTCGCAACCGGCCATGCTATAACTGTACCGATAAAATTAATCGTTCATTGTTCATTTTATACAATAAAATAAAAATAGTAGTTTATATATTGTATAACTTTACGTAGTGAAATAAAACAACGCGAGCAATGTAATACTTTGACCGGCGAGTTGAAAATGTAATCTTCTTCAACAAAAGTGGCTGACGCGCTGCTTTATGTTTTTTTTATGTGATAGGACAATAAACGACGAGTGGACGGATTTCCTGACAGTACGCAATGGCCTCGTCCGCAACGCCAAAGAAGTCACTGGTAGGTTGTCGTCCTTTTGGGGATTATGGTTTCTGAGATTTAAGGAATGGGAAGGGATAGCGGGAGGGATAGGATTAGACCTCCAGTTACTCAATCACAAAGTGAAAAAAAAAAACGCTGTGGTTCTTTCAAGTCAGTGTCCTGTGAGGTTGTGGTATCACTCGGGTCAAGCCGAATCATTCGTGCAGAAGCATGGCTCTCCCACACTAAATGATATATTATGTACAATACATGTAGTTATTACAAAAAAGGTAAGTCTTTCGATAAACATTAACCACAAAGTTAAAAGATAGATAATTTTACAGAATTAGGTATTGAACCATTAAAAAATATAACAGTATGAAAATATCCGAATTGTAACAGAATATCCACCGTTCCCATTGCCGGCCCACCTGAAATCTCATTGGTCGAGTTTTAAACAAGACAAAAACTCGAGAGATTCCATTTGTATTAATTAATCACATTATACTGTTTGTTTCAAATTCTTTTGTTATCATTTAAAATTACGAATAATTTTCAAAATGAGTTCGGTCTACAGATGTTCTCTGATAAATTGTGTTTCATAACTTTAACTGCCACGGCGGCGTACTGATAAGTTTATTTCAGTGAAAAATAAAGTAACGTGCTTTATTTTTAAGTAAATATTATATCAGAGTCTTGGGTAATCGGAGGCTTATAAATCAAGTTATACCTTCTTTTTCCTGCCTTTGTTATAAGCCTCTTGGAGTCGGTACAACAAGTTTTTTTCATTCTCGTCTATCAAACGTGATCATTTCCCTTACTCCTTTGTTTTTTAACATTTTTCGTAATAATATGATCTGTTAACCATTTCATTGTTCATGTTGCACCGTCGCTTCTTGCATTTGACTAGCTTTGTATAATGTGATTGTACCATCGATTCACGGTCCTTTAAGACTTTTATATTTATCGTTTATACTCTTTTAAAGCAGCCTCTTGATAGTCCAGTTCTACAGCTACATAACTGGCTTTAAATAAAAAAAAATACGAATAATAAAATTGGTACATTGTACACTTTTCTCTCTAAGGAAACGAACCATATAATTACAAAAACAGTCTTGTAATAAAACAATAATAACAACAATAATTTAAATGAAATGAGTGCTCAACAGATTGGACGCCATTAACGATTCAAATTTCAAGGTAACCACTTAACTACTTTCGAAAACAAACTCGGCTGTAAAATAGGTAGATACTAAGTAACTTTTATGTTCTTTTGTATAACATTTTCAGTCGATTCTATCTCAGAAGTGCCTAATAACAATATTTTTTGCTGTAGCTACAATTAATTTAACGACTCAGTAAGTATTTGGAATGGAACTTATACACAATTTTTCCACAAAAAAATTGCCAGCCTATCGTAAAATTTTATTCTCCTCAAAACTTTCCTAATTGTGATCACAAAGGGAGGAAGAATTATTTTCAAATTAAATTCCTGATATTTTTACGAGTTTTACGAAATGGTTGATGGTACTTTGACCTCCATGGGACCTCTGGGACTGGCGTTAATGACGCAAATGGACTTTACTGATTTTCTGTGCGTTTAACATGATTTTTTTTATGTTTTTCATCCGGCTTCATCTTTGAATATAATTTCAGCTCGTAAAAAGTTAGATGAATGAATTAATGATTAAAGATCTTAAAAGAACCGTTATAATAAGGAGGCATTTTATTCTTTGAGCACTGCTTTTGTTAACAGACTTGAAGTCATCCCTTAGTCGGATTTGACGGCACCCACAGATTATCTGGAGACTTTAATCTTTCTCAGAAAACACATGAAATCCGACCCGTATAACTTAATACCTATTTTTACCTGACCTACCTGCTTTAATGAAAGGCGAGTGAAAGTTTTAGGAACCGCCTTCATTTCGGTTGAAGGTAAGTTCGTTCGTTGTAAACAAGTGAGATATTGAGCGAGATTATGTTATAACTTTACACATTTTAGGTGGGATTCTGTTTTTTAAAAGGGTATAAAGGAGTCCTAACTTTTTTAGGAACTTTTTATTTTATTTCATTACGACATCAAGAAGTATTTACCACAAAAATGCTGAAAATACTAATCCCTAAATCGGTTCGATCGATTTTCGAAAGTTCTTAAAACTGAACGCTTCGAATCAAATGAAATATGCCCGTGGTAGCGCAACGCAGATCGTCATTTTTTTATCTGCAATCTGTTTCAAAACATTGCTAGCGATAAATTGGAAGGTTCGGCCATATTGGATTCAAAGGTAATCTAATAATACGAACCTATCGCAGTTTGAAAAGACTTTTAACTTTGATTTGCTCAATTTATGATGAAAGATCAATCAAATGTAATTAAAGTATAATCAATAAGTCCTTTCGGGCGGATAATGGGAAATTTTTAGATGATCGAATTTTGTACTCTGGAAAATCATTATGAATCGATGGTATTTTAAGAAATTGAAACAGATAGAATAGGCTGACACTCCGTTTTTTTTTAATATTGAATAATTTTCTTATGAAACTTTAGAGTTTCACAAGAAGAACAGTAGCTTTTTGATAATTAAAACGGTTCCATTTCCGATTCAGTTTGCAATTTTCTTGATTATTAACTCATGATTAGGAACTCATGATATCCAGGATCTTCAGCAGTTCCAGATAGCCCATTTCTCGATTATAGTTCTCATATGTATAAGAATGTTTATATTTATAAAGTCCTGATGGTAAGTATTCCACACCGCCCTGCCTATGGATACCTGCTCCACCAAACGAGGTACTGGTGTGTTGCCGGCCTTTAGTGGGTTTTTAGAAAATTGGGGATATGGGAATTAGGGGTGGTGCCGTTGTTTTACTCCGGTATTTGTCCGGTCGAGCCAGCCCAATCGTGTCGAAGCGTAGGTCAGCAAAGCTCTCCCGTACCTAAAGTATGAGGTTTGCCACTATCGGCCTACTTGACAGATTGGTTGCTGATTGCAGATTAAAAAAATCGTGTTAATTATAGAGTGCATATAAATGGTTTCTCCTAAAGCCTCGAACGTGTAGTTTCTTAGAACAATCACAAGAGCATTAAATACAATTACAAATAATTCACTTTTATTCTTGTTGTTTTTTTTATTATTTTTATGTAATTGGTCGGTAAACGAGAAGACGGATGACCTGATGGTAAGCAATCAGCGCCGCCCATTGACACCCGCAATGGAGGATTTACGAGTGCGTTGCCGACTTCTTAGGGATTAGGGATTTGGAGATTTAGGGATTGAGGAGGGATTGGGGGCGGGGAAGGATTGGGCCTCCGGTAACCTCACTCACACGGCCAAAAACAACGCTGTGGTTGTTTCACGCCCGTCTTCTGTGAGGCCATGGTATCACTCCGGTCGAGCCGACCCATTCGTGCCGAAGCATGGCTCTCCCACACTTAACAGTGTTTGGACAGTTCACATTATAAACCAAGTCACATTTCGAGTCTCGCACATCAATGTTAAGAAGACCTAGAGATAAATGTGTTTACTTGAATAATAATTGAAGACTTGCAGAGTGCGACATGTGTTAGAATTTCCACGTCAGCTTATGAAGTTAGGAAGTACTTATCTCTTCAGTCGAAGCTTAAGGTTTGTGTGGAGCTAAAAGTACGTACATGCCAGTTCTAATCTTTATTAAAAGAGTTTTTGTTTGAAAGGAAAAATGATACCACTTGTAACTGAGACTTCGTTATCCGTTTCAGCTTGTATGTGATTTAAAAAGTCTTCTTTGTAAGGTCGAAGCAATTTCTTTGTTTTCGCAGTTTTTATTTATATGGAAGCACAATATTCATGTAAAATTGGTGCAAAGATCATAATGGTGGCTGTAGAGTGATTGTTACACTTTAATAATATCATTAAGCATGTGTTTTATAATAGAAATTGTATAAAAAATGGTTGGTGAACCTATTA